TCTAGGATCTTCAGGGGCTTTGAACTGAAAGCCACTAGTGCCCTGCCTCAAAACACAATATTTTTTAGCTTTCCACAGCTGATGACAGGACTGCCAGCAGTGGCCTTCTGCGTAGGTGGTTGTGGGGGGAGAAGAAGATCCAGAGTTGTGGGGACACACACACACACACACACACACCTGTCAGCAGAGGGTCACCACCAACATATTTTAACCCTCTCCAGCAGCAAAGACCCAGGGGCTTGAGAGTGCATCATTGCCACAATTTCTGTGAGGAAAATACAGTGTAAAATATTAATGCTATTACGTCTCATATTTCTTCTCAGTGAGAATAGGCCTTTCTTGTTTCACTTAGAATAAAATTGGACGAGTTCCCATTTTCATTATTTACTTATTCTCCAGCTTAAACACTGATATTTAGATAGAAATCTGCCTTAATGATGGCATGCCTATTTACTAGCTGAGGTTCTAATCTGTTCTTTGTGTTTTTTTCCTGTGGTAGGAAATGTGAAACCATTTATATTAGGCACTGCATAATAAAGCTCGAGTCCTAAACAGATCTCATTAACTTCAATGGAATGTACTCTTGAGGAAGTGTTTTGAAGAGGGTAACCAATTTCTCTCACTAAAATTACACCAATAGTTTCTACAAATGTACTTTAAGGTTATTTTTTAAACAAATATATATCATTATTAATACCTGGGACCTGTAGAATAAGGATGTAGTGCTCTTATGTTAATCACCTGCACTGATAATGAGTTCTTGAGGAGCAGAAATCTATAATGATTCACTCCTAAAATTATCATGCTCCATTAATGTTTTACATTATTTAAGGATGCTGATTGTTCTGCTAGGGTTCACTCTCTAAATAAATTGCAGGTGCCAAGATAATAACTGAGCTGTACACATAGGACCCAGAATGGTTCAGATGACACAATTTTTATGTTAATGGGTCAAGCCAGTAAGCTTTCAAGCAGCACAAAAGCCTTCAGGCAGGAATGGCAAGGTGGTGGTGGGGATAAACTGACAATACACACTGCCACAAAGATATCTAAGAAGCAGGGAAGGCATGTGCAAAAGGAGACAGGGATCTTGCATATTTAACAGTTGGGAAGCTTGTCATGAAAACCTCACTCGCTGAAATTCCCGCTTTGGCCCTCCTTACAAAGAAAGGAAGTCACTAGAACTGGAGCTAGATCTACACTGATCTGGAAAACGCTATTAAAACATAGCTCCCAATGCAATTTTCCTTTGGCGATAGATTGCTGCTCTACAGTGCCCTCTTGGTGTCACATTTTTATAACACATTTCTAACGTTACAACTCACCAGTGTAGATTAGTCCTCTGGATGGAGAGGCTGACTGTTGTCCTCCAGGCCTCCTGACGCTTGGGAATCCTGCCTTCATTTCCTCTCCCCAGACCATGTTCCTTACTGGAACTGCTTCACACTCTCCTTGAGTGTTTTCACCTGGCTGGAAGGGTCCTTGAACTCTGATAATGCTTCTTCCTTGCCTGGATGGAGGGTGGAGAGGGAGATGGGGGTAGAAACTAGCCTACTGTACAAGGGTAAATTTTAATTGCTCTGTCCACTTTTGCCTTGGCTTCACTCACCCACTGGCATACGGCCCCTAGAAGGCTTTCTAGAAGGAAATGTGGCCCTTGATCTGAAAAAGCTTCTCCAATCTCAAACTATTACAGGTGAAGTGAAATCCCAAACAAAATAAGAGAGGACAGGGGCATCACAGGAGGGGAGGAGAAGTCATTTCCCCAGCATGCTGCTTGTCATGCAATAATTCCTCGGGATTATCTCTGTCTCTCTGGCTATTTTGAGATATAAAAGTAGCCAGAACAAATGCTCTTAAAATAAGCTGCATTTTACAGTTTAATGTTTAATACACCCATGAGCAATGCTAAGTTCCCTTCTACCAAAACCTGAAAGAGTTCCCCCCAGAAGTGGCTACATGGCAGAATCAGTAGCAGCAGTGTCGGAACTAAGCAGGGGATACAATGATGTTTCTTATTATGTGGGATTGTGGGGCGTGTACAAAATCATAAGAACATAAATAAAGCCGTTGGATCAGGCCAAGGACACATCTAGTTCAGTATCCAGATGTCTGTGGGAAACCTGCAAGCAGGACCTGAGCACAACAACACTCTCAGGTCATTCAGTGCCAAAAAAGCCTGAGTTGGAAGTCCCAAGGCATTAACACTGTAGCACAGGCATAGGCAAACTCGGCCCTCCAGATGTTTTGAGACTACAGTTCTCATCATCCCTGACCAATGGTCCTGTTAGCTAGGGATGATGGGACTTGTAGACCCGAAACATGTGGAAGGCTGAGTTTGCCTATGCCTGCTGTAGCATCAACGTTGTTCCAACTACAATGAAGCCCAGAACATGATGAAGCCCAGAACATGGCTTAACGAGGATAGTTACAGATCACTGGCTTCTTACTCTACTCAGTCATTGCCCTTCCACTGTGAGTTATGACTGATTTTGGTGGGTAGAATGCTTTTGTGTGCACACCTCCCACTATGTTCTGTACCCATTGGTGGGCACAATGTACAGGGCTGGCACAAGCCATTCTGCTGAGGCAGAGCTGCTGCCACTCCACGTACCACCTGTATACACCAACCTTCTGCCTCCTCATGTTTTCTTCCACATCAGCAATGGCAGTGTGAGCTCTCCAGGGTCTTCCTCCTCACAATGGACCGCCAAGGCAGTCTTCTTCAGCCTGGGCCCTCCAGATGGTGTCAGAATACGGCTCCCATTGTCCCTGTCCATCTCATGACTGAAGAATACTGTCTAAGGGAATGAAGGGTCCTTCCAGAAGTTGTGGCCTCAAAGTGCAGCTGCACAAATACTATTCCAAACGTTATTTATCAGTGGCATCTTATATTTATTATTTTGAGCTCTCTGTTTTACCACTGTTTTATCATTTTAATTTGTAAACTGCCTTGAGATGGACTGTTATATATGTTATATGAGTACTTTTATATGAAGTTTAAGAGTAGGAAACTGTTGAACTTTCAACAGTTTTCTGCTTTCAATAATATTTAAAGCTTTTAATAATATTTATTTACTGTAGCAAAAGGCTGGAAAACCACTAGAAAGCCCTGCAAGAGCACTGCTGTAGTGGCAAAGTAGTAACAGTCCCACAAGAGCATTAAATGATGGTGGGTGGGTGGTTGAGACCACACAAATCTGCTTCTCCTTTCCTTTGCACAGCCTGCATTCAATAATGTTGTATTGCTTATAGGATTTGCACTGGCTGCCAATCTGCTACCTGGCCAATTTCAGTGTGTTGGTACTAATATATAAGACCCTAAACAGTTCAGGACTAGGTTACTTTAGAGATTGTCTTATCACTTATATACCCAGAAGATAACTCCAGTCTGCAGGAGAGTTACTCCAGATAGTTCCAAAGATCTTAGGAGCCTGCTCTGCAGTAACTTGGAGCAGGGCTTTCGGTGTGGTTGCCCCTGTTCTGTGAAACAGCATCCCTGTTGAGATACAACAGGCACTCACTATCTGCACTTTCTGGTAGCAGTTTTGTTTTGAATATCTTTTTGTTCTAATAAGCTTTCTCAGCTACATGAGCAGGTCTCTGCCATGGGTGTCCCTTTTGCTTTTTGCCTTTTTTTGAAACTCATCTTCTGAGGTTGTGTGTGTGTGTGTGTGTGTGTACTGCTGTATAATTAGTTCTTAAGCTATTTTTGTTACGTTTTCTACATCACCTTGGAATATAGGTTGGAGGCTATAATTGCTATCTACATATATCCCAAGGCAATATACAAAATATACTAAAACATTTTTTTAAAAAAGACGAAAGGCTTTTTAGTAGAAATTTAAAAACATGTAATACACTGCTAAATGGTGCTGAGGAGAAAGGTAATAGTGCAGATGTACTGGAGTGGAGAGGACTCAATTGCCTGATACATCGCTGCACATGTTAAATCTATACTTATTGCTAAGGTGATTTGCACCTGCAAATATTGCATTACCATTTTGCTCCTTCTTGGAAAAAAAAAGCTGGATTTTTTTGTGAGCTCTCAAAAGAACAGGGAACGACCAAGAGGAAAAACAACTTGAATATGAACCAGGAGCAGCTGGCTGGCTGGCTGGCTTGGCACTGCAGAGCCAGTGACCTAAACCAGCCTTCATCCAGCCCTCTCTGGCTCCTGGCACAATCCCCATAGCTTGGTTAGCCATTCTATAATACAGTCCTTTATAAGTGAGCAGAAATGGATGCTGCTGTTCCCACTGCAGATGAGTGATGGGGACACGGCAATTGATTGCCTGCTGCTACAAGAGAAGATAAGGTTGGCACAAGAAGATGGGTGGTTGTTCCACAGCCAGTGCTCTGTATGGGGTGGGAAGAAGTGGTGAGCGGCTAGATCAGTAAGGTGCACATCTGTGAAGGTTGTTGGTGAAGCAGTGCAGCTAGGCCCAGAAAAAGAGAACATAAGGAAAGCCTTGTTACACCAGGCCAAAGGCCCATCATGCCCAGCATCCTGTTCTCATAGTGATCAACCAGATCATAGAATCATAGCATTGTAGAGCTGGAAGGGGTCATCTAGACCAAGCCCCTGCAATGCAGCACCTGAGTGTGCTTGTGGGCCAGCCCACCTGGGACTCCCGGCAACTGGTATTCAGAGGCATTATCCCTCTGACAGCTGAGGCACAACAGAGCCGTTGTGGCTGGTAGGCACTGATCACCTTGACCTTCACGGAAGGGTCTCTCTGGGTGTGAAAACATGGCGAGGGGCTCTTCTCAGTATGGGATGCCAGGGGCACAGTTGTGGCAGGAAGTACAAATGACTGGTTGCATGTAAAGCTGTGTGAAGTAGTCTTCCATTTGCAGTCTTTATCATGCCATCAAAACTGTTCCTAAAACAGCACCCACTGATTTTCTTAATCAGATTTCTCTCTAGTGCATATAGATGCCCCTCTCTGTAACAGCACTTTGCTCCAGGTTTAAATTAATTGCTACTGGAAGTTTTAAAACACACACACACACACGCATGTACCCAACATCTGCCCTCCACCTGTGTACTATTTCATACTGGCCCAAAAACTTGCCTTTTGAGTGGAAGTGCCTAGAAAAGTGTTTGTGTGTGTGTGTGTGTGTGTGTGTGTGTGTGTGTGTGTGTGTGTGTGAGAGAGAGAGAGAGAGAGAGAGGGGGGGGCAGTAATTGCTCAGAATTATGAATGCATTGCCCTATTGCCGTTTGGAATTTCCTTTCCCCAACTCCCTCAGAAGGTCTGGTAGACTCTCTCTCATTGTAGGTTTTTAAGCAGAGGCTGGATGGTCATGAGTGCCTTAGTTTTGATTTCTGCATTGCGGGCTGCTGGATTCGATCGCCCTTGGGGTTCCTTCCAGCTCTACAGTTCTATGATTCTGTGATTCAACAAGCTGCTTCTAAAACAAATACTGTAGATTCTGGCATATTAGGTGACTGGGCGTATTAGACGACCCCCCAAATTAGCAGCTGCAATTTGGGGGTTCGTCTTATAAGTCCAGTCGCCTAATACGCTGGGCAGCTCCATGCCGGGAGAAAGCCACCCGGCACAGAGCGGAGCCCGCGGCCCATTGCTGCTGCTTCCGCGCCTCTTCTTGGTCTCTTCTTCCAGATTGCTCAGCGACATAGTTCTGCCGGCCTTTATTCTCACAACAACCCTGTTAAGATTGGTTAGCTGAGCTGAAGAACACCTAGTAAGCTTTATGACTGAGCAGGAATTTGAAAGTGTAGGGCCAGATTTACATTAAGTCACACAGACTCTTCTGCCTGCCAGGTACCTTCAGAGGAAACCTTGCTTAAGTCTTAATTCACTGATCAGATTTGCAGAATCAGGTTAATAGGATTTTCCTTAAAGTGTTTGAAAAGCACACCAGCACTACTCTCCATTCTTGAGGGAGCTGTTTGAAGATTCATTGTTAGAAGTAAGATCAAATTTTGTTTGCGAGGAGGGAACTGTTTCAGGACATGACAAGGAGCTAATAGACTACTTTTGCTAGTGTCAAGATAGTTGTCTTTCTTCTTCCAGTTGTACCCACGTTGTGTTTCATGCATCAGTTCCTTAGGGAACAAGAGGAATTCCCATGCACCGCAGGTTTGTGCATAAGGAATTGGTTACCAGCAGGGGTGTTGTCTCAGTCTTCTGCTCCAACCACTCCCTGTGGTTAAGAAAATATATTTCTGTGGAGTTAACAGAAAATGCAGTCAAAACTGCAAAAGGCTATTACATCTTTCAAAATAAGTCTGCACACTTATTTTATTGTATGCATACACAAGTGTGGAGCGAATCAAGGCAGTGGAATTTTTTCAAGTAAATCATTTATCACATAGTAATGTTGTTATACCTTTTGCTGTCAACATCATCTTATTGCCAATCACAGTTCAATGTGGGGGAAGGGAACTTTTCAGCCACTTCATCCAAATAAGCAGATCAGAGGTTTCAGAGTCCAAAGCTATTCTTAGCTAATGGGTGTCATTCATCAGTACATATATATACACTATGTTTGGATTATTTGCTATCAACTTCCTCCGAGAATGATGCACGAAAACATTCTGGCTGAGAAACAAGTGGAAAATGTGAGCAAGAAAATGGACCTTTTGCATTTGATTTCTTTTGAATCAGACCTTTCCCTTCCTGAACACCAACTTTTATAACTTTCTGCATGATGAGCTTAATTCTGTTTCACATCATTATGCAAATGCAATAATTTGCAATAAAATCAATTAATGTGCCATCAAGCCTCATAAAAATATGTAATCACCACCTTACTGCTGAGACAGTACTTTTGTTATGCTTGTGGTTGGAGAAGAACTGTGGGCGGTATATCTGCTGAATTAACATGGAGGAAAGGGTTGTTTGTGGCTTTTTCTCATTTGCTGTGTGGCTATAACATGACCCAGAATTTCCAGCTACTCATAAAGTTAAGCCCTTAAAGTGAAGTGGTGGACTTGCAGAAGGATGATTAGTTTTTTGCTAATTCCAATGGATTCTTCAGCAGCTTCTTCATCTTTTACCACACCATTTAATTTTTTTGTTTGCAACACTGCAGAGGCAAAAAATGCACTGAGTGAGTTGGTTGGTTTCTAGTACTGAGAGGCCATAGGAATATGCTAAGTTTCTAAATGGCTGTTGCATGTATGGCTCTCCACATATTATTGGACTCAAAGTCAAGTCAGTCAGTATGACCAATGGTCAAGAATAATAGGAATGGTGGTCCAGCAACAGTTCGGGAGCCAAGCCTTCATACCTCCCTAGTGCCACAGAAACATGTCTGCGATCAAAAGGGATGCTTTTATGCTTTCCTTCCAATTGGGCTGAAGGCATTGTTTGGAACCCAAGGGCAGAAAAAAATGCACACCCAGATATTTAAAACATAGCCAAAACTGGAGCCCACCAGGAAGGGCTGAATTTCAGGGGGAAGCATCTCTTTCCTTGGGAGTCAGGATATGAATTTTGTTAAATAGACCAAACATTAATTATGTGCCCTGGCACATTGCTAATTCTCATGTTAGGATGCTTTTTCACTTGAAGTGTGAACAAAGGGAAGGGGATGTTTTGTGAAATGGGATATGGATTGGAGGACTTTTAGAGACTGGCAGGGAACTGTGGGGAGAAGCCAGGAGTTCTTCTCTGGTTCAGATTTTAATCCAAGATGGAGAATAATATCAGGGCTTTCAAATCTTGCCCTTCCTTTAAGGTGAACTTTGATGAGAGCCCAAAACTAGTTTTCAAGGCTGACCTCAGAGACTTCACAGCCATTCCTAATTTCTAATATATATATATAAAATTGTCCAGTAGCACCTTAGAGACCAACTAAGTTTGTTCTTGGTATAAGCTTTCGTTTGCATGCACACCTCTTCAGATACACAGAATTGTGCATGCACATGGAATCTTATACCAAGAACAAACTTAGTTGGTTTCTAAGGTGCTACTGGGCAATTTTTTTAATTTTTTTATATATTTCTACTGTGTCAGACCAACACGGCTACCTACCTGATTCCTAATTTCTGTACATTTCACCTGTAAATCGTGATTGATTCGAAGATAGTTAATACAGCATTGGACCATGGCATGCCAGCTGCTTCAGCGCTCTACGCCTTTGTCCCTCCCTGCTCCCAGATTCCTTCCTTCAGAAGGCTACATAACTACGGTATAAATGCCATTCATTTCCCCAAGACTCAAATTACTGTTCTGCTCAGCATGACTCTGACAGTAGCTTGTCATAGGAGATCCATGCGAAGCCATAGAGAGGTCTGGCTGCTGTAAATGTTTCTTAAGTATCTCCATTAATACATACATCTTTGACCTTAGAGAAGTTACTGGAAATGACCAATACCTGACCTGACTTAAGGCAGTTCAGGGGAAAGTGCAATGGGGCAATAAAAAAACTCACCTCATTTCCAGGGCTACCTTTCAGTGTAGCCCTTTAATACGCCATAAACTCAAATGTACCATGCTATTTCACACTGTTTCAAATGGCTCTCACAGGGACTGGAAATGGAATAGCAGCAACAGACCATATGCTGTGGAGACCAAGGTGGAGGTGAAATCACTCTGGAGGCAACATGAGCAGAAGCGTGTGGAATCCACCCCCCTCCACTTTTTAAAAGGCTGTAAAGCTTACATAGTAAAATATAGCTCATTTCCCATCAGTGGATTTATTATGTGTGTGTCCAGAAAGCTTTAATGTGGCAGATCAAATTTAGGAGGCCTTGCATTCTTTGGGCATTTGAGCTTAGCATTCTTACCATCAGAATAGCCTTTTGGGGCCTATGAACTTGCTTGGCAGTCTTTTTCAGGCTTTTTTTTGGTTGTTGTTCAGAAAACCCAGGGCATACAATAAGTCACTCAGGGTCTGAGGAGGAATAGGCTGTCTGCAGCTGCAATCCTAAACTTAGAGAGTAATCCCCACGGAATACAGTGGGATAAACTTCCTTGTAAAATATGCATAGGGTTGCATCTCTCATGGTTTTTTTGCTTGTTTGCCAGCCAGTCCTAAGGATATTTAATTTTTGAAAATATTGAAAACTTAGTGAAAAAAAATACTGTATTTTTCTGTCTATAAGACACCCCCATGTATAAGACACCCCCTATTTTTGGAGATTCCGATTTAAGAAAATGGGGAGAGATCTATCCGTGGATAAGACGTCCCCAAATTTTGGACATTATTTTTTATACCTAATCTTATACATGGAAAAATACAGTAAATCTCACTACATCGGGATGCTTCCAACAACCTAAATATATGGTAAAAACATACGGTAAAAATATGAAAGTCACAACAAAATTCCTGTAGGAATCTCCCCTGAATAATTGTGTTAAAACTTACTGGAACATTCACCATTATGTGGTGTGTGTTTTTACCTCAGATATGATTGTATTTTCACTTCTGATGCCGGGCAAATTCTTTTTTATTTTTCTAGTCTTCTAATCACAGATATGCTTTTTATTTCTGTTGTACCTTTATAATGCTTTCTTTCATTGTTGTTTCATGGTTTATTCCATTTTTTTGTAATATTGCTGTAAACCATCCTGGAGATATTTAATTTAAGTGTAGCATTCTATGATAGCATCAAAGCATTCTGAATTAATTAATTCCTGCCCTTCACCCTAAGGTCACATTACAACATTAAAACATAACATTGTCCGACTCTTCGTGACCCCATGGACCAGAGCACACCAGGCACTCCTGTTTTCCACTGCCTCCCGCAGTTTGGTCAGACTCATGTTTGTAGCTTCGAGAACACTGTCCAACCATCTCGTCCTCTGTCGTCCCCTTCTCCTTGTGCCCTCCATCTTTCCCAACATCAGGGTCTTTTCCAGGGAGTCTTCTCTTCTCATGAGGTGGCCAAAGTATTGGAGCCTCAGCTTCACGATCTGTCCTTCCAGTGAGCACTCAGGGCTGATTTCTTTCAGAATGGATACGTTTGATCTTCTTGCAGTCCATGGGACTCTCAAGTCTCCTCCAGCACCATCATTCAAAAGCATCAGTTCTTCAAAACACAACATTAGAAACAGTTTAAAACAACTTGCAATCATAAAAGCAAGGTGGGTACTAAAAATATACACCTCAGGTGTCAAAAGCTGGGTTAAAGGTATGTCTTCAGCATTCTCCAGAAGCTGTATAATGAGAGTGCCAGACACATCTCTGTGACGAGGGGGTTCCACAGCTTGGAGCTGCCATAGGGAATGCCCTCTTCCAGGTCTCCAGCCCCCTGAGCCTCTGCAGGGGGAGAAGCTACCAAGATGGTCCCCCTGCTGATCTTAGTGCTTGAGAGGGTCTGTCAGTAAGGAGGCAGACTTTCACAATAATTGTTTATTTCTTGCTTAATTTGTTTTTTTTGAAACAGTACATTATTATCAGGAATTACATTGCAGTTTGGTGCAATGTACAGTGTAATCCAATACTTGTCTGTTCCGAATTAAGGCCCCCATTGCTTTCAATGGAGCTTACTCCCAGGTTAGTATGTATAGGATTGCAGCCTTAAAAGTTACAGAGTAATCAAGACAGTTGCTACCAAGAATTGACCAAACAGTGAAGCATTCCACCGATCTATTACACTAATGAAGCAGTGATTTTTTAAAAAAAGAATCCTTTTACAAGCCATCACCAGTACTCTAAAAATGTAACATCTGCCATTACTCAGTATTACCTGGGATCTGAACATGGTAATGTTTTATGTATTAGTTTTATCATTTCCCCATCCATGCAGGTTTTAATTTTGTGCTCCACAGACTTCCGTGGAAATGCTTTGCTTTGTCCTGCTTAGTATAAATGAGAAGGGACCCGACAGACTTTTTACAATGTTGGCCACCTGCAAAAGTCATCTCGAACTATTCCAACTATGTCTCTGTTATAAAACATGCAGTGTTTTAAGGCTATTGTCCCAACTAGCACAAGAGAAATCCCCCAGTCTGCATTGTACATAGATTGTACATAGTCCTCCATTAAGCAGAACAAAATTGGCCCATTTATAATTCATTTTAGGATCTCTAAATCTCCGGATGATGTTGAAATGGCTATAGCTACCTGGAAGGCAGCCAGGATTTGTTCTCTCCTTTTCTTGTTCTTATGAAGGAAATTTATTTTCAGCACAAAAATTCAATTAGGACAGCAAAAGTGAACTTGGCACCACAGGGAGCCCAAGCCTTTTCCGGGCCATGACCTCCTTTCAAGAGCTCTTCAAACAAAAGGTGAGTTTGGGTTCTGGCATGTCGGACTTTGCTGACAAATGGATACTTCAATGCCGGGTGTCCCGTGACACGGTGCCACCTGAGCCCATTATACCATGCCCTTCATTTGTTTAGTTTTGATAAAGTTTCTTTCCCTGCCTGCTGGAGTGATTGATGAACACCAAAAATAGTAGACTTTGTGTCCACTCTGACAAATTTTCAGATTAAGGCTTCCCTCCAACAACTAGGACTATTTAGGGTAATCACCATTCTACCTGCAGGTATTTGTTAGCAAATGTTTATAGCTCCTTTAGGCCATGCAAGTTTGAAACATCTATGTGACAGTATTTCTTAATTGCTGGAAAATTAGCCCGTCTATAGAAAAAAACCTCTTTTGGAGTCTGCTAACTATTTAAAGTCTACAATCATATTTGACAGAATTATAACAGTGTTGCACACCACCCCAATCCCTGAGTGGTGTGAAATTCCCAGTGTTCCAGGAGTTTATCCAGGTTTCATGTTTCCTTTTGGAATGAGGCACAGCGGAGATTTGGGTGTTTTTATGATTTATGGTTTATTTACACAACCTGAGCCTATGATGGAGGGGTTCACAGCATTAACACCCCAAAAGGGTCTTGTTTCTCCCATAGCTGCAGAAATCAAACATTGCTCTCAAACATTGCTGTGGCTCTCTCCAGCTTGCTGCTTTACTTCTGGGTCACATCACTTTGAAACTTTACTGCAAAGTCTGGCTCTGTCTGTTAAGGGTGCCCCCCCCCATTTGCCATCTCACACTGAGCCCCTTAATTCCCCATCACCTCACCAGGAAGTTATTTTGGCTATTCCAGGTATTAGAAGGCTCGATTAGTTTTTAACACTTGCTGGATCCCCGGATTAGAGGGCTCTGGCATATTAACACCCCAAACTCATAACAATAGTTTTATCCTATCAAAGAAGGAAAATGTCAGTCTCTGTGGAAACAATAAATTGCAAGGAATTAAGGGGGGGGGAGGCACCTGAAAGGCTCAGTTTACATGTAACGCTAAAATAGACCATGGTTTAAAGCAAATGCATGTGGGCTATGAGAGACAACATCATGGCAATTTTGACCTTCCTTTGGTCTTTTTGTTGTTGGTTTAGCATGTTTGACCTACTCAACTCTGTGTGGCAGCAGGACTGGAGTAGGAGCAAAATAGGCACAATCTCCTCTCTGGAAACCCATGTATTTGGCTTAGTATTATACCATAACTGGGTCAGTGACAAAAAGATTTCTTCAGACACCTCATAGAATTACTTTGCCTGCATTTGACAGCAATTTCAATGATGGAAATAATAGGTTCTCATGAATGTCAATACAGCAGAAGGGCAACTGCTTGGGATACATAGCAAATTCCCAGCTGCTTGAATTAAACATTTTAATATCTCCACATCAGCTTTTTTTATCATTTGCAGGAGAGACATTGCCAGATGTAGCTGATGCACAAATTGATGCCAGCCTGGTCTGGAGATAGCTATTTATCTAAAGGAACAAAGTTGGCAGGGTGAACTTGCTGAGCAAAGCAGAAATTGGGATATTAGTTTGTTCAGAAATCCTGCCTTTCACAGTTTCTTACTTCTGTCAACAAAAGAAAATAAAAGGGCTTATTCTGTAGTGGCAAACAGATTGTGTCTGTCAAGGCCTGCATTTCCTCAGAGGTAGCCTATGGGAAGCCACATGCTGGTACATTGGAAGACAAGTGGGCAGGATCACCCCTTT